TAATTAGCAATGTATTTATACAAAATATTTGTGGACAATAGATGTAGATAAATGCTGATTGTCGGCATGTTACATTTTCCTGCACTTCCATGTACATAAATCTTAATTTTCAGAATTTGAAATAATGATAAAAAATGAAAAATGTTTTGAAGTAATATATAAAGTAAATATTTCCTCTTTCCCTTTCGAGTTAGTTGCATTACATGCGAAATTTGATTTGTGATATAATACATAATCAATTACTGTGTGATAATGTTGACTATATTGTTGCACTGCTTCATTAAATTTAATTAGAAGAAACTAATGTTTTTAAAAAATGTTTATTTTTTTTTTTAGATAAATAAAGGAATCGAATTATACTACTGTCTAATTTACCAAAGACATGTGATATGTTTCTAAATGTTGCTCATATAAATGGAAATGAAAAAAATGTCTTAGTTAATTAATGAGTTTTAAAACCTATTATATGACGCTCTCATTATTTTAAATATAAATTTTATTTGTTAAATATAATGTGATAAATATAATTAACAGGAAGTGTAATCTAAGCCCAAATTATTCTTTGCAAGGAAATAGATCTGACTTTATTTCTGTACCTATATATTTACTTATGATCGAAAAATTATTTTATAATTTAAAAAAAAATTTAGTTTTTAACGACATGCATATAATACATACATGTATAATTATTCATTTAAATCATATTTTTATGCTTGTTGAAATTTTTAGAAATAGACTAAATAATTCATAAAATATTTTTTTTCTTTTACGTTGATTCTTTTACTTGCTTATCAAAATACTTAGTTACCGTTTTAATAAAGATGATTGAAGAATTGATTATTTTACCAATATATCTGTAAAAAAGTGATTGTGATGCAAATCTGCTCAGTTATGCTCAATTATGTGAGAAAGGAATGGTAGAATATTACCAGTAAATTACATATTAACTTCTACTTACCTCAAATAGTAAATTTCAGCATAAGGATAATACATCGAACATTAGACACGAAAAAAATACGCTGTATATTAAATTATGTTAGAACAAGTGTAATTATTAAGTACTGTTGAAAATATGATGAACATACATATAATAGGCTAAAAAAATTTTGTCTTTAATAATAGATGTTCCTATGATATGTAGTGCACAAAGCGGAAATTAGCTTTTATTTTAGTGTTTCCATACAGAATAGTTGGTGTGTTGATAAAGGGGAGGAACAAACTACATATAAATATTACATATATTGCATATATTATAAAATACATATATCTAT